GGTTTCCCGACCCTTTGGGCAGGGCCTTCTAGCCTCCGGGAGTCCTAAAGGGGACTTTCCTGTGGGCCATTCCTTTCTGGGAGGGATTGAGAAGCTGCTAACCCGCTAAGATCTGCGCACAGCCCTGCCTTAAGCTGAGCTTCCACGAACGTTCTCAGTTGAGTGGAGGGTGTTAGGGATGGGAATAGAAGCATGGGTAATGAGCTCTGGCTTTTTAAAGTGGGGGAATATGTACTCATGCATGTGGAGGGCGGGGGGGGGGGGCAAGAAGGGGGAGAGGAGGGGATGTCACTAACTAGGCCTCAGAGAATTGCCATTTTAAGCAGAACCAGAATTGCTTACAAGAATTATTTGACCAATTGGTAGATACAAGTGCTGCTGTGAGAACTTTCAGGCTAAATTAAAGAAACCATATGGGGGGGAGGGAGAGAGGGGGAAAATCACAAACCATCTTCCACACTCCCCTCCACCCCTAAACCCTCTGTCTTCAATAGGGATTTTAATCCCATAGGCATTTCCCATAGGCATTTCCAACCTTTCCCAATCTGTTATCCTGAAAGACACCGTGATGACACCAAAGGCCAACTTGGGAGGCATTAGTTTTTCTCCTTACTCCCCATGCCTTTTCGTCATCAGCCAACTTAAATCATCTCAAATAAACATGCAATCTTCATAAAAACACAGTGCTTTCCATGCAAGCAGGGTGTTCAGGGAAGTACTTATCAGACTTTAACGTGCATATAAAGCATTTGGGGATCTTGTTAAAATGTGATTCAGACTCAGTAGGTACGGAGTGGGGCTCTGAGACCCTGCATTTCTAACAAGCTCCTAGGAGATGCCAGGCTGCTCACCGGAAATGACATTCTGTATGGAAGCCCCAGGCAGCCCACCTCTGCCTCCTCCCTTCAGCCAGCTATGCCCCTTCTTCATAGGCCTCCTGAAGCCCCTATTGTGTGAGTGCCGGAAGTGAGAGAGGAAGGATGTCTGACATGTGCCCCCTCCTTAGTCAACACTCTTGTTTTTTCACATTCCTCTTCTCTCCAAATGATATTTCTCTCTCTTATTTATATCCCCTTTGCTCTCTTCTCTCTTGCTTGCTCCAATACAGCTAGGACACTAAGACATAGTCAGTGGGGATTTTGTTCCATTTTGGTACAATGTGATTCCCCTGTGAAGGCTGTTTCCCCCCTCAGCCCTCACGAATCCCTTGTGCTGGCTGCTTCTCTTATAACTCCTCATGTTATTCTGCAATCAGAGGGAGTGTTGGCTTGAGGAGCAGAGTGCCCTGATAACATACACGTGTGCACATCTGCATGCATGCATACACACATGGCCTCTGGGCTCTGCCAAGAGCTTTCAGCAGTCATGTTCCCTTCTGGGCCACCATTTCTTTATGCTTATATTATGTGGCTGAGCTGGCAAATAGGTGAAGGCCCCTGTTTTTAATTTGATTCTAATTAACCAACAAGCACATTTTAGGTCCTCTGAACAAAATCTGAATTCTTATTTTTCTATCCAAACTCTGCCCCTTCCTCTGTCTTTGGGATGATATTTTACCAGCACCTTCTCTGGGCCTTAGTGCCTTGTTTATATGTTGAGGGATGATGAGAGTCACCTGATCTGGGAAGGCTAGGACATATAGGGACTTAGATGTAAAGGTGCCTAGCATAGTTCTTGGCAAAATAAGGGTCTTAGTCTGCTTATAAAATGCCATAGACTGAGTGGCTCAAACAACAGACAATTATTTATCACAATTCTGCAGGCTGATAAATCCAAGATCAACGTGTTTGGAAAATTTGGTTTTGGTAAGGGCCCTCTTCCTAGCTTGAAAAGAGCAATCATTTAATTGTGTGTTCACATGACCGTGTGTATGTGTGTGTGTGTGTGTGTGTACATGTGGGGGGTGAGATAGAGAGAGAACACTCCGTTGTCTCTTCCTTTTATTTGTAAGGTCAATAATTCCTTTATGACAGCACTATTGTCATAACCTCACCTAACTCTAATTATTTCCCGAAGTCCCCACTATCACATTGGGGGTTAGGACCTCAACATATGAATTTTTGAGGGACACAAACATTTCGTCTGTAACAGCAAAGATTAGTCAGGATGGTTGACTTGGTTTGTTCATCTGGAAAGAATCAACAGACTGCCTACCCGGTGTTAGGAGCAGTGAAGCCGTGCTGCAGAGGTGCAGCGAGGAGTCAGAGGTGGACCTTGTCCTCCAGTCAGCTGGCACAGAGATTCTAGATTAGGGGGTGGGAGGTAGCAGCCAGGAAGGAGACTAGGGAGAGCAGGTCCCAGGGGGCTGAAAAAGGAATAAAGCAGAGGCGTGGGGGAAGGTGAGAGGGGAGGGGGGGCATGCCAGGAATCTCAAAGCAACTCTTGATGAATAAGCATTGGCAGGAGGCCCCAGAACATCTTCTGACCCTTCAACCCTGAGAACGCATGTCTATGGAGGAACGGCAGCAAGAGGAATAAGAACGTGGAATGTCAGAGCCTGAGTCAGGGGCTCTGGATGAATGAGATGTCTGAGACTTTTGAGGGTGTGGGGGTGAGGATGAAGATGCCCAGAGATAAACTGCTTCACTCCTTCTGAGTTTTAATTATTCAGGCTGGGAAACTGGGAAGAACTGAAGGGGTGTGCAGGGAAGGGAAACATAACAAGAAATTTCATCCTTGATAAGGATAATGGTAATAGTGATGGTGACACCCTAAATTAGCTTCAGGACATTTTGCAAGGGGATGGAATTGGTGTTATGTAATTAATTAATTAATTACATCCCTCCCTTTTTAAATGTTAATTTTTAATAAGATTTCAAGATTTCTTTTTGGTATCATTAAAAAAAATCTCTTGAAAAAATACAGTATGTAGATCACTGACCAGTTACATGTAACTATGCTGCCTTCTGCCTCTGCTGAATTACTATCATGAAACATGGGCAAGTCATGAAAAACTTGTTTTTGATTTATTTTGTTTGGAAATGAAGGGTGACCTTTGTGATCCTGATGGGCACTTTCACTTAAATATTAGATGGTTCCCAACAATGTTCACAAAAATAAAGTAGTATTGGTAGCATTTTTGCCCAACAGGTGTGTGTGTGTGTGTGTGTGGTGGGGTAGGTTCAGAATGAGTCACCCCACAACGTGTTTGTGGTATGAGGATTATTTTGAGATAAAAGCAACGTAGACCCGTAAGCTCAATAGAAATATGTCCCTTCTCCTACCCCCCCCCCTTTTAATATTTAGAAGAATTTAAATTAGGGGGCCTGGCCCATGATAAGAGTGACCATCAGAAATCACTTTTTATTACCTATTTATTACTGAGCCTGTGCTCTCCCTGCAATTACCTTCTGAAGCCCCCTTAGCTCAGAATGTCACATCTGTACCTCATTTTCCGTTTCTGTCCCTGAACCTTTCATGTACGGGGGGGGGGGGGGGGGGGGGGAGGGGGGGCCGAGAGAGGTCTCATGCGGGGTTCCCATCTGAATGTAATTAAATCTGGTCATGTTTCTCTTACTACTCCGTCTCATATGTGTTTGATTACAAGACCAGCAGAAAGAACCTTGAGGGTAAAGCAAAACTCCTCCCTCCTCCACAAACAACCTGTAGTCTCTGCTCTCCGTTCCCGTGGGGGAGGGGATGGTGAGGGTGGTAATTCCATTAAGGAAGGTTTCCTGTCCCTTTACCATTGACCTTGATGGAGGGCCTCAGGTAAGAGACAGGGGCACATTCAGAGGCCTCCTGCAGGGCCCCCTTTGGGTGGTTTATTTAGACCAGTCTGTAGTGCTCCGCAGGCCAACGCTCTCGAGGGCTCCAAGTGGCCACAGGTGGCCAGAGGGAGAGGCTGGTGACCCGAGAAGGAGGTTCCACCTGCCCACGCGAGCCGGGCGGCAGGGTCCGCAGGCGCCGCGCACGCGCGGTGGGTCCCCGGGGAGGCGCGCACGCGCGGGGGGGGGGGCGCGGGGCCGCGCACGCCGGGCCGGGGAGCCACTTCCGGGCGGAGAGGGGCGGGGCGGGGCGGCCTCTAATCTCGGCGGCGGCGGCGGCGGCAGGGGGAGCTCGAGCTTCGCCTCTCACGGGGCTGTCCCGCGGCGAAGGGGACCCCGTGGGCGCCTGTGTCCGAGCGCAGAAGCCGGGGAGCTGGTTCCGGGCTGAAGAGGGAGACAGGCCGCCGCGGCGCCGGAGGAAGGAGGTTGGCCCGGCTCGGGGAGGTGGGCTTCGGAGGGGGGACAGGGACTGAGTGGGAGGCGGGTCCGGCCGCGGAGGAGAGAGCAGGGTCCAGACTTGGGGGGGAGGGTTTGGGTAGGAGGGGTGCGGAGAGGAGGCAGGAAGGGCCCGGGGGGTATTGAGGGGCTGGCGGGTGAGGGCGGGCTCGGGTCCGGGCGGAAAGGGGTGATGCCGACCCCCGAGTCTGGACCCCGAGGGAGGGCAGGTTTGCGAGTGGGTGGGAGAGGGCGCCAGGGTCTGGAACTCCACTCCCTGCAGGGGTAGGAGTAGACCGGGCAGGCAGGATTTGCTCCTCTGCACGGGAGGAGAGAGTTTTGCGAAAGGAGGGAGGGAGGGAGGGAGAAAAGGAGGGATGAAGGGAGCGAGGCCGGCCTGTCTCTTAAGGGGAGAGTCCGGCGGAGGCTGGGCCCTGGGACTGGGCTGCCGCGGGCTCTGGTTGAATGGGCCGGGCTTCTGGGCTCCGGGCCTCGGTGGGGGGCGGGCTGGGCGGTGCCCCTGGTACCTACCTGGGGGCATTGCTTTGTGGGAGGCTGGGTCGGAGTCTGGTCGGCTCTCGGAGGGGAAGCCTAGGGCCAGCGAGGTTCTGATTCGCTGGTTTGGGGTGCCGGGGGTGGAGTGTGATATCTGGGAGTGAAATCCGAGCTCTCAAAGGAGGCAGAGAACCATTTCTTGACTGCTCTGGCTCATCTAGGCGGGTCGACGAGATAGCAGAAAGCTTCAGAAGTAAACAGACCTGGTTCCCTTTTGCAGAGGAGCGGGGCTGGAAGAGGAAGATGCCCAGTGCGGACGTTTTCATGTTGGTGAGTGTTTTCCCCGAACATCCTCCTTGTGACCAGGCACTTGCCCCTTAAGTTTTATTTTGAGTCCGAGGGATCTGAGTTATGTAGATTTCATCTCGGGTGCTTGCTTTTGGTAGCTGAGCATTTCTGCCACCTTTCGTTTGGGCTTCATGATTAAGGTGGGTAAAGTAACTGAATTAAATATATGAGTACATATTTCATATACGTGAAGAAGAATCTTTTTCAAAATGCTTGTGGTTGGTTTTAATCATTCCCTTCCCATATTACCAGAGCAATTTCAAAACTTCTGGATCCGTCACATACTAGTTAAGAAGTCATGGTCTCCCGGGCTACAGTTATGATTCCTCAGACGGCTGATATGTCTTATTTTTATGGAAATGAGTAAACACCCGCCCTGGTGTTCCACAGTAGTTAGTGCTTATCCAACGCTTGTTGAATGGAATCAGTTTGAACTTAAGTGTTTCGTTGGGCTGAGGTGTATACCTGCTGTGGAAGAGGCTGCCTTTTCCTCTCCTTTTGAGCTCTTCCTGTTTTCTCACCAAACAGGGAGACTGGCATTGCCACATGAGTGTTCACCAAAATGACGTTTTATTCTTGAGACAGTTATGAGTCCATAGAGGCTCCTGAGTGGGAGAATTGTGGGAACCCAGAACTTTCAAATCGCTACATAGGAAAAATGTCTGCATTTAATGTTTTTAGCAAGTCACCTCACTGAGTTTGATGTCTCTCTGCAAAATCATGGATTTAGAAGCAATTCCTTTCCCTCTCTTCGTCTCACCATCCCAGGGAGGCGGTGGCTGTGGAAATGGGCAAAAAGGAATAGTGAGGTTTTCTCATACCCGGTGCTGACTCGCTGTAGTGGCAAAAACCTGTAAGGTCGGCAGGACATAGGAAAACGAAGTTCTGGTTTGCGATTGGGAACAAGGATGATTTTAGAGAGATAAATACTTGGTTTATCTACAGATCCTGCTCTTTTCCAAGTCTTATGGATGGTCAGTAGATAATAAACAGTCTTATTATAATTTCAAATGCTTATTATGTAAGCAATATGTTAGAAAAAATGGAAACTATTATAAATAAGCAAAAAGAAGCACTCCCCTCCCCAAATTACACTACTTAGGGATAACAACGGTTAGCACCTTGGAGGGTTAATGGAGAATGATTTTTAACAGTTGGCAATTTCTGTTTTTCCTCAGCGTGCTTATGTAAGTTAAGATTTTTATGTGTAAGTAGGATATATTAACTTGCTCAGAGATGCGCTTATTACTTCTTGGGCCTTTGTGCTCCCTTTAAAAGTCTGAGCAGTGAGTGCTTTTATTCAGAATATTAGCTTTGGAATTTGTTTTGTTTTGAAGTATTTCTGTGGCTGTTGCCATTATTTCTCACTTCCTCAGTGGATAATCTAGAATGTTTAGGGGTGTTGCTTTGCTTGTTGGTGTAAGGAATTCACGTGGATGACAACAGGTCTTTGAGGTTCATCATTTTCCTAAGACACCATATATGTCGGTTGAGGAACTTTCACTGGAAAAGTTGTCATATTTTCCTCATCTAAACTGTGCTATTTGAAGCTAAAATGTAAAGAACCAGGGTGGGTTTTCAATGGGGGCACTAAATTGCCATGATCTGAGTTCAAGGTGTTTCTCTAGCTACTTTGTATGTTGTTGTGTAAGACATATTCTTGGCCCTCTAACTGAGAAGAAAGGGTCCCAGGTAATAAACATCAGTGCAGGGCAGCATTTTGTAGAAACGCAGAAACAATCATAGAAGTCATATGATGCAACTTCTTATGTTGTGCATGAATCCTGTTTTAGAATCTCTGGTAAGTGGATAGTCAGTCATTGATCTTTTCTGCTGGAGGAATGAGATGGGCATAAGCTAAAACATAATACAGGGTGGATTCAGGAATAGTAATGTAAGTCTGCCAGCTAATATTTATTGAGCACACATTCCATGTTATGTGCAGAAATAGACACTCTGCATCCTCATTTAATGTTCACAAAATTCCTTTGGAAAATATGCTGGCATCCTCCTTTTACAGGTGGAACACCAGGCTTAGCTAGGCTATCAGCAGTGAAGGGGAGCTACATTTACCACAGTCCCTCTGACCTGAGATCCTTCCCTCTTACCTGTAAGGCTGCCTCTGGGTCATCCGCTCCATAAGGGAGAGAGATCGTTGGACTTTGTGACGATGGGAGAGGGTTTGTGTAGAGCAGAAGGGGTGGGATAGCTCCACCCTCAAGCGGGCACATTGGAAATGGGTATGTGTCTGCCCATGAGAGTGTCTTCAAGAACAGTCTTGTCTGAAAATATGTGTTTTATTATACAAATATTTCTGTTTGTTTTCTTTTACATTCTCTTTGAAATTTAAAAAGTTATGCCTATAATGTTATAATCTTTGAGTTTCATCTTAGAATAATAAAGGGACATTATAAAATATTTGTTATAAAAAGAGGTCTTTGGATTTGATAAGATTAAAAACCACATATGTGGACAGTATGCTATGGCAATAAAAGTTGAAGATCAACTGGAATCTACATAAGGCAAACCTTGTATTCCAGAATAAGAAGCTTGGGCTGTCAGTCCTTAATTTTGCCCTCATTTGGTTAGGATGGTCTGCTTGCCTTTTTCCATTTGCTCCTATATGATATGTCATGGGCTGTACTACTTTGCACTTATGTCTCAGAGAGTGAAATGAGTGAGTATTCATCTGAGAAGTGTGATGCTTTCGGAGGAAATTCAAGCCAGGCAATTTTTAGCAATCTTTCTTCACTCTGGCAACCATTCTTTTCATCCCTATTCTCCTTCTCCCTAAGCTAAGGTTACAAGTTGCCAAATACTTCTAAGAAGAAGCCCAGCCTACTCCTTAGGTGGCTTTTCTCTTTTCCTGTCCAGATGGGTAAATAAGGTTACTGCCATTTGTTCCATGGTAGTGCTGGTTGAGTTTGAGTGAAAATTGTTTGTCTGGGGCTGAGGTTTTTCATCCCAGGGTGATTTTGCCCTCTAGGATCATTTGGCAGTGTCTGGAAACATTTTTGATTGTCATACTTGAGGAGTGCTAGAGTTAAGGATGTAATTAAAAACCCTACTATGCACACAGTTTCCCACAACCAATAATTATCTGGCCTAAAATGTCAGTAGTGCTCAGGTTGCAGAAACTCTGGTCTAGGGTTCTTAACAGTATTTGCAGCCCAGGCATTAATGTGGGTCATTCCAGGCAGAATGAGTTTTTTTGTGTGTATAATGGGCTTGTTATACTGTTACTTGGGGTTATTTTGCTCATGGATCAAGCCCTGCTGCTTTGGAATATGTATTGGAGAGTGTACAGCATGGTCTTCTGCAGCAGAGGAATATTCTCATCCCCTCCGCCATTGATTTTTAGAGACAGTGGAAGGGAGGGAGGAAGGCGGAGGAAACATTGATGTGAGAGAGACATTGATGTGGCAATTGGTTGCCTCCTTGTGTCCCGACTGGGGTGGGGATTGAACCTGTAACCCAGGTACTTGCCTTTGGGTATTGAACCTGAGACCCTTCCGTGCGAGGGCTGACACTCTATCCATTGAGTCACATGGGCCAGGGCCACAGGCACATTCTTAAGAAATGCTTTCATTTGCAATATTTCTGCAGCACTTTTTAAAAAATATATTTTATTGATTTTTTTACAGAGAGGAAGGGAAACAGATAGAGAGCTAGGAACGTCAATGAGAGAGAGACATCGACCAGCCGCCTCTTGCACACCCCCTACTGGGGATGTGCCCGCAACCTATGTACATGCCCCTGACCGGAATCGCAGTCTGCAGAACGACGCTCCACCACTGAGCCAAACCGGTTTCAGCTGCAGCACTTTTCTTAAAAGAAAGTATTTATTTTATCCTCATCTGAAGATATGTTTATTGCTTTTCTTAAAAAGGAAAGGAGGGAGGGAGGAAGAGAGAGGTTGAGAGGAGAGAGAGAAACATTGATCAGTTGCCTAGGCATCCCAATGGAGAATCGAACTCACAACCCTCTGGTTTATGGGACAACATTCCAACCAACTGAGCAACCTGGCCACGGCTGCAGCACTTTTTTTTCAAGGATGCTTTCTTACTGAATCTCAATTGGGATTTAAGCAATAAATTGAAAGATGGGCACAAAAAGCTCATTTCTAATCCGGTGTCTTTATTTGTAGGATTGTCTAGAAGAAAGGGGAGATTATTCAAAATTTTGTTGATAATTTGAGTGGCCATTGTAGGATGAGCACCGTACTTGGCATTGTTTCAATGTTTAAAATAAAGCAAAACTATAATAAGTAAATAATAATTTCTGCAGCCTTTAGTCTAAAGGAAGAGGGAGTTATAAATAGAGAAACCCTCAAATCCCAGTGTTTGGCTTAGCTTTGCAGTCTGTGTGTCAGGAATTTTTAGTAACATTTACCTTCTTAATTAGTCTTTGTCCCATCTGATATTACATAAAGTTTGTACACATTGGTGGCAGAATTGAGAATCAGCCTGGGATTATGACATTTCCATAGGGAATTGATTTGTAGTGAATCAGTTCATGTGTGGAAACATACAGAACCCTACTACTGAGAGAGAAACATGCTATTTGTTAAGGGCAATAGGAGCCCTTGGGAGGGCAGAGAGTAGTTCGTTGGGTATATCAGTTATCTCTTGGCACACTCCCAATTGTGATTGAGGAGATGAAGGGACTATTTACAGAGCTGAGCAGGGTTAAAGAAGACCAACAGGGATGATGAAACAACTCAGGGTAAGAGCCATTATTACTCAGTCCTGAAGGAGCCAGGAAGGGAGTAGCTTCTGAAACCCTGAGAGAGCTCATCTGAAGGAGAAGGTAACCTGTAGGAATGTAGCCACTGCCAACCAGTGGCCTAGCAGAAGGGAAGTAAGAGGAATAAATACCTCAAACTCCTTCATTTCCCGCCCTCTGAACTCCTGCCAGAGACTGTTATTGGTCAAACTCAATTGGGAACTAGAGAATAAGAGAGCCTGGGTGATTCAGTTCAC